ACAAAAACAAATCTGAGGAAAATAATTCTTAGCCAGGCGTTGATCAAAATCAGTTTGTAAATCTAACTTGAAGTCAGTTGAGGAAGTTTTACATTGTCGACGCTTGGGCACGCTGGCAGTTTTTGGTGACAAAACATGCCAGTGTAGACAAGGCCTTAGTGTCTAAGGTGCCACAGGACTCCTTGTTGTTTTTAGTTGTACAACAGTCCTCAAACTAGGCTTGGGAAATGAAGACCAGTGTTCTTTTGTTATCTGCTATAGAGGCCCACTGATTCTTTTATTAACTTACCTACTTGTGTGGTGAGCAGTGAAGGGGTGTCAGGTGACTGTCTTGCTTCAGATTAAACCTCATGGACTTGTCAAGAAGTCATCCTGCAAACCCCTGTCTTGAGGCCATAGGTTAAACATTGTAAGATTTGTTTTTATCCAAAGCGTTATTAATCCTGATCCTCAGTGTTCTAACAGAACTGTTGAGGTGGCACCTGTTGGAATATTGCATTATACTGCTAATTCTTTATTCCAGAAGATAACATCCTATGACTAATTGTCTTTGCATGGCTGTGATTTACTTCATTGTAAATTAGCCAATAAATGTAGCAGAAAATGAGTAAGATATTAAATAGCACTCTACACGCAGTGATGACTTTCCTTTCTTTGTACAGCGTCTGAACCTAATCTGAAGTTACGATCCAGATTAAAGCAGAAAGTTGCTGAAAGGCGGAGCAGCCCCCTGTTACGCAGGAAAGATGGCCCTGTGGTTACTGCTCTTAAGAAGCGTCCCCTGGATGTCACAGGTACGGTGGGTAAACAGTGGAAAGCCGTGCCTCTTGCAGCATTCAGTATAAGGCTTCCATCTTTAAAATCTGTTTTGCGATCTCTGGATTCCCTTTGGCACCTTCCCCTTCTTGTCCTTGGACGTTCATCAGTGAAGGGCTCATTTCCAATGTCACAGGCTTGGTTTCAAGCTCTAGTTTTTAAGCTGGTGTTAAGGAGATACAGATGGTGCCAGTGTAGTATTTCAAGATGGTAGAAATTACAGGTGGTTGGGAAATAGCACATGAAACCTTTCAAAGGCATCTCTGCTAATGCTCATGGATCTAGTTGCTAAGCATAATGCGTAATGGCACCACTCCAACACAAAATGCCCTTGATGCCATGTTCTTTCTGGGTATAGATCTCCATTTTTTCCCAAACAATGTCAGAACATGTGGAAGCAAAATGCAGGACAATGTAGCACTTTAAAGACTAACAAGATGGTTTATTAGATGATGAGCTTTCGTGGGCCAGACCCACTTCCTCAGATCAAATAATGGAAGAAAACAGTCACAACCATATATACCAAAGGATACAATTTAAAAAAAATGAACAAATATGAAAAGGACAAATCACATTGCAGAACAGAAGGGGGATGCGGGGGGGTGGGAAGGGGGAGGAAGGAAGGTAAGTGTCTGTGAATTGATGATATTAGAGGTGGGGAGGGTGGGATGTTTGTGAGTTAATGGTATTAGAGGTGATAATTGGGGAAACTGTCTTGGTAATGGGTGAGATAGTTCAAATGTTTGTTAAGTCCTTGTTGGCAAGTGTCGAATTTTAACATGAATGACAGTTCAGAGGATTCCCTTTCAAGTGCAGATGTAAAAGGTCTTTGTAGCAGAATGCAGGTGGTCAAGTCATTGAGAGAGTGTCCTTTCTGGTTAAAATGGCAAGAAACTGTTTTTTCTTTGTGATCTTGTCTGATATCTGTTTTGTGGGCATTAATCCTTTGGCGAAGTGTCTGAGATGTTTGTCCAATGTACATAGCAGACGGACACTTTCGGCACATGATAGCATAGATTATATTTCTGGATGCGCAGGAATATGTGTTCTTGATCTTATAACTCACTTGGTTAGGTCCAATAATGGTATCAGCAGAACATGTGGGTTTTACCATACGCAATTTGTACTCAAGCTACCTGTTTCCAATCTTCTGTGAAAAGTAATTTCCATTTCTTTTTTTGGATAAATTTCACGTTAGGAGGTAAACTAGGTAAATCTTTAGATTACCATGAAATTTAATATTCATATAATATTTAATATTCAACTTAGAGTGCCATGTGTAAGTACATGTAGACAACCAGTGTGTTTGTTTTTCTCAGCCTCCCTAGTGTTGTAGTTCATGCATCTTAAAATTCAGCTCTGGTCTCAGAAGTGACTCAGTAGAAATGATGTCATGGGTTTCACATGTGCATTCTCCTCACCAGATGCTCTTGGTTTACAAGTCAGGAGATGCTTTTCCTAATCAGCTGCTGTACAAACTCCACCACAGAGCCGAGAGGCAAGCTTATCGCTTTCCTCCTCATGCTACGGCCTGTGAAAAGGTTCTACTGACTAAATTACAGGTCTTTTAACACTTGTGGATGGATGACTGAAGGGATCACGTGAGGATTCCCTGTTCTGTTCACTCTCTGGGGCACCTGGCATTGGCCACTGTCGGCCGACAGGACATTGAGCTAGATGGGTCTTTGGTCTGACCCAGTGTGGCCATTCTTATGTTCTTGTTCAACCTCAGTGTTTTCAAATGGTGCCTTTGGTAATACCTGCGCACGCCTGTCTTTGCTGGGTGTCTACAGATGTTATGTCTGCAACTAAGTTTAAAAAAAGGCTGTTGATCCACAGGAAAGACTAGATTTCTGCTTCTGCTCTGTTGCGTGGGCTGTTACTGGACTAATTCACATGAAAAGAATGAACATTTTCTTTTGGTCATTACAGTCAGCAGTTCAGACTCTGGATACATGTGGACTGCCCATATTAAGATGAAAATGACATTTTCCCTAGCCAGGGAAGAATTGTAATTTTAATCCATTGGAAATGTCCCTGAATGAAATCAAAGCTTGAATGTTATTGCAAAGATAAACTGAGTGCCATGTGTTTTTCTTTTGTTGGGTAATGCTTGTGGAATCCAATAAATCGTAGCTATTGGCATGTTACTTACAAAAATGCATGTGTGTTCTATCCAACCAAAATCTTCTTTCTAAAATGGCTAGGTTATCACGAGAATCCCTGGGTGCCCACTGTGGACAATGTTGAAAGGTGGTAGTGAGACTTCAGGTTAATTGGGTCATCTTAGCTCAAAATGCTGCTTAATCGGACAGGGAAAGAAACCAACCCTGGCAGCAGGAGGCAAGGCACAAGGAAGTCACGAGGCTGCTGTTATGCAGAATCGCCTGTCATTTCCAAAATCATGTTCTGCAGGTATGAAGGCTGCTTTGCATTCATGAATAAAGCAGCATGGTCTGCGGTGCTACAGAGGCGCCTCAGCCTCCGAGAGGAATTGTATTTCAAAGCACAGTGTGCAGTTGGTCGAAAAGGAAGAGGTTTTCTGCTTCAGTGTGCTACTTGCTGAGTGTCGGCATGCCTGTCAGCTGGGGGTGAGGTGGGGTATGGGGGTTCTAATTAAGGAAGATCCACATCCTTGAGCAGAATTTTAAAAAGTCTTTCAATTTCTTCTCTAACTCTTTTGCAATCGCTGTGAAAGCGCTTTTCTCAGCTGCCAGTGTGACCCGGGAACTAAATGAGCATGCAGCTTGGTCATGGCATCATTCTCATCTCTTTGCAGTGGAATAGAAAATACACGGCTATTCTGGGCAAGTCCAGTGAGGAAATGAATTCCATGTTGCTTAGAGGTTAACTCCATATAGGAAGGAAGAGTGCTGAGTACCAGTGGCTAGTTACAATTCCAGAACAAGAATTTGGGCAGGGGAAATAGCTTCTCCCATTTGCACAGTGTATTCATTGCTCATACTCACAGATGTATGCAATCTCAAGTAGTCCTGTAGTTGGCTTCATGCTCTTTACTACTGTCTTGGGAAGCATGATTTGAGAATTCCTAGTACAAGCTGAGCCTTTCTAGTCCAGCACCCTTGGGATCTGACCAGTTCCAAATCAGAATTTGCTGGACCCCACAAGAAGTCAGTATTGTCTAGCAGCATTACCAACACTGCCCCTGCTCACTGTGCTGTTAGCTGTAACTTACCCCTACATGTCCTCTAACTCTCAGCCCAGAACACTGAGAGCCAGGACTGGTGGCGGTAAACAAACTTTGAGACTGCAGGAGATTTGGCCACACCTATAAGTGGCCATCTAGCCAACTAAAATCCTGCTGGACCAGAGAGTGCTGGACAAGAAAGGGTCAACCTGTGGTGTTAGGAGGGTGTGGAGAAGCTGGTTGCTGATTTTGAGACACTGTTCCATAGTTTCCATGGCTGGGACGTGGTAGCAGCTGATGTCAATCCACTGGAGCCTACAGTCACATAGATGAAATGCACGGGGCTTGGAACAATCAGATTAGCAGCTGATTTATAGAAAGAAAATCCTTTTGAATAGGTGAAGTCTGTTCATTATTAGGCAGGCAGTTTTCTCAGTTTTAGATTACTTAATCCTCACATTCTCTTGCTTTCAGAGGACAGTCAAGTCTATTTATTAACTCTACTCCCACCCTAATATGTGCTGAGTTACTCCACTAACCAGGTTAAATAACTAAGACAAAAATAGTTTCATGCCCTCAAAGTTATAACACCTGGCTGCATTTTCACTAGGCAACCCAGTGCAATGTTCTAGATTGCATCAGGTCATTATGTCCTAGGCAGTAGAAAACCATACTGGGATCAGCCAAACCCTGTGTTCCCAGATTTGGAATGGCTGACACAAGGCTGCAGTGATTTCTGCCTGCGAAGTAGCCTTGGAAAGCTTAGATAGCTATTGGTAAATGTTGGTAAACATGGATTTCCCTGGGCAGCCACAAACTGACAAAAAATACTTCTAGTGATGACAGTGAAGATTTACATTTAGCCCAAGTATGAAAAATGCTGCTGGAGAACTTACTAGTGTTTTGATTTGAAGGGTGATTACTTTGCATTTTCTGATGTGTGATGCTGACAATCTGTGTTTTTAACAGGTATAAAATTTTAGCTTTTTGAATCAGTCTGTCAATTATAGTTGATTTCGTCTTTCCCCTCTCCCCCCCCCCAAAAAAAAATAATTCCCTTCCACTATGCAAACATACATGGATTAAAAAACCCTCAAAATGAACATCTATGTTGTTTGTTGGAGTGGTAAAATTAATAAACGGAATTCTGCCTAACATACTTCTGAGATCACTCCGTTTTCGGGTGTTTCTCTTTTTATGGGCAAAAGCAGAGAGGCTCCTATGGGCCACCTCTGTACCCCAGAGGCGTTTTGTGGTGGCAGTGAAATCCCCTCGTGTTCAGTGCTGCTCTGGAGCTGGGACTG